TTTTTTGGTATATTTGTTTCATTTTATATATTTAAGTATTTTTTTGGTTAAAAAAATATTTAAAGACTTAATTACTGAAAATATTAAAGTTTATTGGTTTTTTTTTCCAGATTTTCTCCTTATTTTATTATATTAATCAGTTTTATAAATCATAATAATGTAACTAACAAGTTTTAAAAATTCCAAGGGACTATTTAATAAATTTTAAAATGTTAAAAGTACTTTTTATTTTAAAAAATTATCCAAATGCTTAATTATTCCAAACAATATAGTCGATTGATTTTTTTTAGATTTTTAAGGTGCGTTTGGTATGCAGACTGGATGGGACGAGACGAGACAAAAAAAAAATAGTCTCATATTTGGCATGTCATGAACAAAAATTACATGGGATAAAATGGGACTATTTTTAAATCTGATGGGACAAAAATTGATGTTCCACCAAAAAAAAAGTGGAACAACATGTGACAAGATGCAAAATTACTACTTTACCCTTACACCCAATAGAAAACCTAACCCTCTTTGCCCTCATCTCTTTCACCACACCAGTTCACGACCTGCTCGCATCCTTCCATTTTCTCCTTCCACGCCGTCCTGTCCACCGGCTCCACCGCCTCCTTCCACYGGCTCCACCGCCTCCTTCCACCGGTATGATTWCTCCTTTCGCATCAATTTCTTTTTGCTGTCCGCATCAATTATTTTGCTGGTAAACCCTAACAAAATCCCCTCTGGTAGATAAACTTGTGCAATACAATGGTTTTGGTACATTGATGCAGCTGGTTTGATTTCTTGGACCTAGATGATTGATTTCTAACACACTTCAAATTGATGCCGTACATTAAATTTGACTCAATGCTTCTATGCTTGTTTGGGTTGTTGTAGTGTGATTTTAAATGCTTCTATATGCTTGTTTGGGTTTTGATCGTTATTACCATTTAAGGGTAATATGGTCATTTTAACAGTTTTGTCCTGTCCTGCCCTAGTTGTACCAAACATGTTAGTCATGTCCCGTCTTCCCTTTCGCTGTTCTATTTCTTCAACTACATTGTTCAGCAGATCAAAGTACCTTCAATTCATTCTGCGTGTATGTTCGACTGCTAGATTTTGTTGTTCACCAACTACATAGATATTATTGTTGGTGAATTAATGCTCGCAGCTACCATGATCGATCTTCACACTTTGAGAGACGAAGAGTTGTTTCGTTTTTGATCCATTTAATTTAGCAAGTTTTTGTTTCAGGGGTGAATTTTATACAGCTGCGGAAAGGATGGTTGAAACCCTGTTTGAAGACATATTTATGGTTGATCAACTTGACCCAGATGGCAAGAAATTCGACAGAGGTATTTCTTCATTTCCACCACCACCACCACCACCACCACCACCATATCATCGTCTTATCCTCCTTGTTTTGGATGATGTTAAAGATTTTTATTGAAGAGTAGCTCTTTGGGAGGCAAAGTGCGGAAACAAAATTGAATGAACAAAAGAGAGGTGTAGCACATGAGAATGGAAGGGGCAAGGGGTTTGTTGTCCAGCCTTGGGACAACATTAGTTTGAATATTTTGTAGCAATAGATGGAAACAAATAGACCAGCTGGAGAATAGGTGTGGTCTGCTGTTTACAACTAAAATGATGTTGAAGGTAATGCTTTTGAACGAATCATCATGAATGGAAATAGTGGGGGATTTCATGAAGATTTCTATGGAGATGTTATTGGAAGTTCTATTGACCAATGACCAATCTCAGTAGTAGGTAGAGAGAAGCTACGCTCCTCAGCACCTTTATATAGTATTTTTGACAGTCATAAGAATTTTCTTTTAACATTGTGATAATGGTTCAAAATTGGGCAAGTAGCAGGTCATAGAGGGGCTTCAACAAGTAATTATGATCTGAACTTTTTTTTGAAGATATTTATATACGACAAATGCAACAAATAAACTCATACACCCTCCTCACCGTTGGGTTTGGTGAACTTGGTTTTAAGGATGTATGACAGGAGTAACAGAAGGCAAATAGTCTTTTGTCGATGGGCATTGAAGGTACACAATCATGGGGCATTAGAAAATTCAAAAAGTTTGTTTGAACTAGAGCTCATAGTTAGTATTTTAGAGCCAAATATGAGTTGGATTCTTGCATGATCATGGAATAGGGCTGGTTGGAGATTAAAGTTCAAGGGTGTTTGACTTGATGCACCTTTTCTTTTCGGTACTTAATGTAATGTGGTGCTGTTTGGTTTTTATGGTCAGAATATTGTTGGAAACATCTTTGATTGCGTTGGATGTATGTCAACATACAAAAGGTTGGGGGGGGGGGGGGTTGTATGAAATCATTCATTGTATCATATTAATTTATTGTTTATTATATTCCATACTTTTTGGAGTGTTCTAATTTTAAAGAAAGAAAGTTAAACTCTGCATTTTAAAGAAAACATATCTTGACTTTGCTTTGTCAAATTATGATTTGTTCTTCAGAAAAAGAGGTTCAAATTAGTGTTAGATGTTTTAGTATCTTCAAGTCTGCAACATGTGTTATATATATTCTCAATCTTTGCAAATTCTGGGAACTGTTATCTTTTTATGGTGGAAATCTTGGTTACATTTGTTCAAAGGCACAGGAAACCATCTAGGGGAAGATGAAGATTTGGTTTTTAGCTTGATTGATTTGTTGTAATGGTACAAACACTTTGATACTTTGCATCTAATGAACGATCAGGGTTTTCATTCACTCAAGTCCTACTAAAGAAAAAGAACATTTAGCTTTTAACCCTTTTAAGACACTTGGCCTTTTTTATCTTCAAACTGTTGATATGAATTTTTCTTTGTTGATGCAATGCTTACATCAAGCATTGAAGAAGATAGAAAAGTACTGGTGTCAGCAGCTATTGAATCTTTTTTGAGGCACTAGTTTCAGTCGTGGCCTATACAAGCTTGCATATAGGGCAACCACATACTCACCATCCACACACACACACACATATGATCTATGCATCCAATAAACTGTTGATATGAATCTTGCATAGCAAAAAATGTTGGTCCTGCAAGAAAGTAGCACGTGAGACAAAAAGGGAGTTAACAAATTAGCAGAATGTTAATAAATTAGTATTTTGTACTTGTAAGTTAGCACAGTATGATCAAGTCTTGTGGAAGTTACATAAGAAAACAAAGACCAAATAGTTTCATTTATGTAGTAGACCTACGACATATTGTGGCGCATCATTTTTTATTTAGAAATGTCAAAAAGTAGGAAAATGTGGTTATGTAGGAATTAGGATATAGCATATGGCTAAATGCACTTGTTGTCAACTCAAGTAGCTTTTTTGGTCACATGAAGCATTCTTGTTAAAGCTAGAGTCTAAACTTGCAAGCGTAGTTGATTCTGCTGTGGTAGGGTAGTGATCAAGTTAAATCCTAGGAATGTACAGGCAGGTGGTCATACAACTCTTTACAATGAAATATGTTGGGAGTTTTGGCTCGTATGTTTCGAGTTTGAAGAGCTATAAGTATAAGAGACTACTATAAAAATTAAATAATGAAAATGACGGTTTCTGGCTGTTCCAATTTGAAGTACAACTACCTAAGGGTTTTTGGAGTTTATGTTGATATCAGAGTAATTGAAGATACATGTATAAAATAAGATCAAGCCAAGCTTATGTGGGCCTCTACAAGCTTAAAAGATATGCAAAAATACGGTTAGTAGGGAGCATTAGAGTAAAAAGTATCTCCACAGAAAAAAAAAACATTCAAGAATAACAAGCATGACACTCTTTTAGAATACGTGTGTAATGTGTTGAATGCAATACTCAAGGCCCCAGGTGTGGCCACTTTTGAAAGTGGAGATACATACTTTATTCGCCATGTTTCTACTCTGTAAAATATGTTTGGCAGTTGGTTCTGAATTCACAGTGATATGTTTGTTTCTCAAATGTGTTTGCTAGTTAATCGCATTGAAGCACGGAGTGACCAGTTTGACATGTACATGCTACTGGATGTAAATACAGAAGTTTATCCTATGCATGTTGGTGAGAAATTTATGATGGTTCTGGCTTCTACCTTGAATTTGGATGGAACTCCCGACAGTGGATTTTTTACTCCGGTATTCTCTAAACTTCTCTTTCATATAAAACTCCATCTTCTATGTACCGTCTATGCAAGTTCTTCTAAGAAGCTCTTAGATCACGGCAAACGGCTCACAATTTACTATTCAACGGTGCATATCCGATTAATAACTGCTATACAAACCTGTAAAAAATAATCTTAAAACATATAATAATAGCATACATGTTAGCTTATTGTTGCAAAGTTGTCTCTAAAAGCTCACGTGCAGTCCTTCGTACTTGTACTAAAGCAACCAAACTTGGGAACACAGCCATTGAGCAAATAAAAACTCTAGAGAAAGAGATGGTGTGATTTTGGGGTCTTTTTGCTAATGTATTTCAAAATAGCATTGAAATATTTCTTATGCCAAGATTGTTTCTACTTAATTCTTTCCCCATTTCCAGGGTGGGCGAAAGTCGCTTGCGGATAAATTCGATTATGTGATGCATGGAAAACTCTATAGGATCTCTGAGGAAGGCTCGGGAGCCAATGTTAAAGCGTAAGTTGGAGTATTATGCACTTCTATGTTGTTGATAAAATTTGGTCACATTTCATGAAAACAACCACTCTATCCTTGGAGGCAGAGTTTAGATCTGCCTACAGCCCACCCCCCAGGCCCTTCTCTCGAGCGGGATATGGTGGGAATGTTTGGTTTGATTTGGTTTATAAAATTTGGTCACATTGACTTGTGTCTTAACTTCACCTGTTTTTCAGGGACATTTATGTTTCCTTTGGCGGTTTGTTGATGTTGTTGAGGGGCGACCCCTCGATTGCAGCTAAGTTTGAGCTTGATCAGAGGTTATTCATCCTCATGAGGAAGGTAAAACACCTTGATTTCTTGATTCTTATAAGTAGGGGTGCTCATGGGTTGGGTTGATCGGGTTGAAGACATTTGAACAACCCAACTCAATGCTTGCGGTTTGAAAAATCTTAACTCAACCCAACCCGAACCAAAGTGCAACCCAACCCAACCCGTACGGGTTTGGTCGGGTTGATACTTTGGTACATTAAAATATTCTTCTAACCTTGAATATGTTATTTCTCTACTCATAATTTCTTTTTCATCATCAACCATTTGATACAACTTATTCATACTTCTTACGTATGTCACATTCAGTTAATTTTCTCAATTTACATATATATGTTCACAATTACTGAACATATATACGAATGAGTTATATATGTGAATAGATTGAAAATATGTGTATATGAAGAGCATACATGATAGTGTAATTGTCTAATGTATATATTAATAGAGTTTCAACAATCATATTAAATCCAAGAAATAAAAGGATATCGGGTTCACCGGGTTGGGTTGGGTTTAAATAATAGTAACTCAATACCTACAGTTTGACAATTTTACAATTCGATTAGACATCGGGTTGATTCAGGTTGAGTTTTTCGTGTTGGGTTGGGTTGATCGGGTTGGTCGGGTTTTTGAGCACCCCTACTTATAAGTGGTAACTATTTCCTTTCAAACATGCATTTATTTGCACCTTTCTGCATTTTATTGTTCAAGATTATTAGAGTTACAATTTTCCCATGCCGAATGATTTGGTCTCCAATAGTTCAAGGTGTCCTCATTCTATATCATTTTTTTAATAACTGTGGGTATCCGGGCCATCTTGCACGCACCACGACTAATCCCATGGGACTTTGAAGCAATTGTCTGGCAAACCCTCCGTCGACCATGAGGGTACTGGAACCGGTGAAATTAGTTCTATAGCATTATTTGATTATTGGTGAAATGTCAAAAGTATCCTCCAATGATATGACAAAATGGAATTTGTGAACCAAAATCAATAATTTGTTACGAGTTCAGTTGGCAAATAGGTTGTTCTAGCTTGGAAATTGGCCAAAAAGGGAAATATGTCGCAACTTTTATTGCCTTAGGGAGTTTGTTTTAGATTCATGTCGCAACTTTTATTGAAATATTTTACAGGCACACATGTGTCTGCCGGCTTCGGAGCTAAATGTGTGTGAACATACTCGAATCTTTCAAAGTGTACTTTTGCTTTTTCTATCAAAGAAAACCATAGGTTCAACCTGCTACAAGAAAAAAGAACGATGCATTTCATTGATGCGATATATATTAGAGGCCGTCTTGCTCTAATCTTGTTGATGTTCGTATGGGTATCCAAAAAATCATATGTATTTTTGTGTGCCATTTTGAGCCGATGCTATAGATGTATCTAACCTGACCCGTTTGACAAAAAGTTGGCCAAATGTATCCAACTTGGCTTTTTTTTTTTTCCTTCTGGATAATCATGGGTGTCCGGGCCAGCTTGTATGCACTTCCATTAATCTCATTAGGCCATGAAGTTAACAGCCAGGAAACCCTACAGGCCCTTAAGGGGATTTAAACCGGTGACCGATAGGAATCAAACCAAGCTGACTTGCTTGATCTATATGTGTTTGGTTCATATGAATAATTTGAACATAATTTGGGCTGACAAAGTCTTTCTACACTTTGTATTGCAGGTGGACAAGGCGTAATTCAACATCTCTCTTGGAGCAAGTCAATGCTAAGTAAAGAGAATTCATTGATGTAAAATATGTTGAAGAATTATGTTTGAAAGAACTCGAAACAATGTTGGATTATAGCTCGTTCAACAACGATGTGATTATGTTTGGTAATAGACGAGGACATGAATTTGATTAAAAAACTCGTTTAAGGTCATATCCCTAAATAACGGTGTTAAGCAATCTTCCTCTGCTGTAAACATGTCGTTGTAAAATCTTGAAAACATAAGGGGTGTTTGAGATTGCTTATAAAAACAACGTATTGACTTATTCCAGTGTGACATCGGTAATAAGCATTTTTGAGTGCTTGGATAAACAACTAAGAAGTTTTTGAAGAAGGTAAATCTATCTAACTTATAATAAGTTAATAAGGACTTTTGTAAAAAAAATATAAGTTGTTTCAAATAAGCAATTTTAAACACCCCGTGCTAGATGATTGGTTTACAAAAATGACTTTCATATGAGCTATCAAAACCATAATATATCAAATGAATTTCAGTATATTCCTTCAGAAAGTGAGGTTCGAAAACGACAAGATGTATACAGATTTGACATCTACCTCATCTTAAAAAATAGATTGGTTGTTTTCATGCTCTGATATTTCAAACAAGGTCGATGTAAATTTTTACTTTTTAGAATGTATTTGTTAAATGAATGTTACAAAATTTTATGATGACAAATTACACATAAAAAATGTTATAAACCTTTAAAACAATTTTATATAAAAATCAGTCATTTAAAAGTCAACTTCAAAAGAATGGCTATATTAGACTTTTTGTTGTGATAGCAAGCAAATTACTTGCGTTGTTTGTTTCGATAACTGTATAAGATCGATCTATAGTGCATTTACCTTCTATATATTTAACAATTTTTTTTGTAATAAAACCAGTTTCATAGGTAAAAAAATTCCGTAACTAGTTGTAGTCAGTTCGGGACCAGTCTTCTTACATGGTTCTTTTCGTTTTCTTTTGATTTCCAACTCTTTTTTCATTTTTATATTAACTATTTTTTTCTTTTCTTCTGGTATCTCATTAATAGCTTAATCCAAATCTTTAAAAGTACTAAGAAGCGGGAAATAAAAATTAAATAAAGAAAAACGATGCTTAATTTTTGGACAGGTTTTCATTAAGAACCTACAACTAATTAGTTAATGATTGCCCATAACATCACATATAACATATTTATTAGGAATATAAACGTTTTATTCATCATGAATATTGTAACATATGTGATTCATAATGAATAACCATTTCATATTCATTATAAATATGACATTTATGATGAATTTTTTCTTGTTTGGGATTGCTTATTTGAAACAACTTATGTTTTTATACAAAAACGTTTATCAACTTATTATAAGTCAGAAGCGTTTAACTTCTTTAACAACTTTTTCTTACCGGTTTGGCACCAGTATTAGTTGTTTATCCAAACACTCAAAAATGCTTATTACCAATGCCACACACCAGAATAAGTTAATAAATTGTTTTTATAAGCAATCTCAAACACTCCCTAAAATCCAAAGTCTTACTGTTAATTTGTGTATAATACAAGTTAAAATAACACGTGAATTTATGATAGTATAACATAAATTAGAAGATTGTAATTTATTAACCTGGATATTCAACCCGCTCAAACACTCCCTAAAATCCAATCTCAAACACTCCCTTCTTTCCTTTTAGAAGTCTGAAAACCCTAAAAATACACACATTTTGTTATATGTTTTCCACTGTTTTGTTTAACTCGAAATATGATGAAGAACAAAACACTCTTATCTACTGTTGCTTATCTTTTGTTTTTTTCGTCTCACATCATGTAACACCCCCGTCCCGCGTGGTCAAAGACGGGAGATGCCACAATTGGAATAAAACAAACAACGTGCTATATAAACCAGAGCGACTAATAAAATTTTACCAAAAGATAATTACATAACCACAGACGGAGATAACGTGTCTCAAAATACGGTCCCAAAATATCAATATGTCTACATTAGTCATCAAAAGTTTAAACAAAAGTATGACTTAATGGGTTATCTTCAATGTTGTCATCTTCGTAGCTCTCATCCCAAAATCCCTGCTAAGTCATGTACCTGCCGAGGACAAGAAAATCTCGGCTGAGCTTAATGCTCAGTGAACGTATAATAATATAACTAAACAATGAATATGAGATAACAAGTTCAAAAACAATTTATAACGTCAAATGATAATCCAAAAGAAAGTCAAAATGCCCCAAAAGCATGTCAAGAGTCTGAAGACCAAACCGCATCACGAGGACGCATTATTCCCAAAGGATGATCAGTCAATTCAGGTACAAGTGAGGAAAGGGGTGTGAGCACAACACAGCAATCCTCTCCGTGGATTTAACCACGACCATAATTCAATATCCGATAATGGTTCCTAGGATCGATCCATACGCACTCTATTCGACCGGTACATAATCAAGTCCACTTTTAAGGACTATAAAAATAAGGACGCCATGATCGTTTCAGTCACCATGGAAACATCTCAATACCGGTGCTCCAGTTATTGAGTCTATAGTAAAWTGTTTCACAAATGAAGCAATAAAACAAGTCAAGTGATCAAAATGATCCATATTCCGAATAAGAATATAAGTCATAGTTCAAAAAGAAATAAAGTTCAATAACATATGATAAACATAAAGGGAATTCAAAACAAATTATTCGGAATTTATCACAGATTATCTGGATTAGGAAGTCTTACGCAAATGGCTATCCCCGTGTCAAGTGAGATATGAAATCCGTATATTAACCGAATTTGACAATTAACGCACGATCAAACGGAGGTTCACGATCAAGTTTGATTTACCCGTGTGCCTAACGAATGCATAAACGGTTACTATTTATAAAGCATAGAAACCATAATATAACTATTCTAATAAAATTACTTAG